ATCATTGCGTAATTAATTAATTTTTTTTAATAAATAATTAATTATGTCATTGCGTAATTAATTTTTTTTAATTAAATAATTAATTACGCAATGACGTAATTAATTAATTTTTTTTAATTAGATAATTAATTACGCAATGGCATAATTAATTATTTAATTTAATTAATTAAAAAAATAAATTAATTACGCAATGATGTAATTAATTAATTTTAAATAATTAATTACATCATTGTGTAATTAATTTATTTTTTAATTAGATAATTAATTACGCAACAACGTAATTAATTATTAATTAATTAAATGATTTAATTATCTAAATTTAATTAAAATTTAAACGCAGACAATTAAATATCTGCGCTTAAATTTAATTGATCATGGGGATCGGCGCTTGAAATCCGGTGTGTCACGCCTGTGTCACCTCTCGCCGATGTCGTGACACCATCTGTCACGATCTCGGAGAACATATTAAATCACTCCAGAAATTCCTGTCATTCCTCGCGTTTTTCAAATCATCCCCTGTGACCACACGAGCATAAGAACTCAAACTCTGGTTTTTTAGTTACACAGAATAGCGCTTTATTAGAGGGGTCAATTTTAATTGATATAATCAATTTATATTTTGTAAGTTCTATCTTGATTAAGTTTAACTGGCTATTGGAATCTTTTCTCAACAATTTCTTCAGGGTGATAACTTTTTTGAAAATTTTTCTTTCATATTATATTTATCAATTTGTAAATAAGAGATATACATTTAGCTTTTAAATATTGTCTCTTTGCATTTTTCCTTATTAAAAGTACTACAATATACCTCTTTATTCTTTTTAAACTCATTGACTTCTAATTTTGCTAGTATACTAAAAGCTTTTGATAAAAAGAGTATACTATAAAGTTATTGTATTATTTTATTATTATTATAATATATTGATTCTATTGTTGATTTATTATTTGTAAGTTGTTACTTTCAAAAATTGCTTTGATATATTTATGTTTCGTGAAAATCAACTCTAGTTTTATACTTAAACTTATTTGTCTTTGTATTGTTTTGCTACTTTTGAGTATTGTACTATTTTGTTTTTGAGTGTCATTTATTGTAAAAATATATTATATTGTTATTAAAACTCTATTTAATTCAAAAAATTTTTTGTCAAGAAATTTCCAAAAATTGAATGTAAGTGAAAAAGATTTTCTTTTTTCCAAGTTAGTTGATATGTATAATACTTATTTAATATATATTGTATAGAATATAACTGATATAATTTATAAAATAAAATAAAATATATATTAAATAAAATATATTATATTATTATTGAGTAAACTAGTATTTGTAAGGATTTCAATCAAATGTAGTATAAACAGATTAAATAGAAGTTTTAAATTATAATTATTATAATTTTTTTTTCTTTTTTAGTGCAGTAATTCCAAAATTCATCATTTTTGGAAATTATTTATAGTGATAAACTGTTAAAAATAATTCTGACAGGCAGAGGTCCTAATACTAATTTATTAAGAAAGCGAAATATTGTTGTCTAAATATAACAGAGTACCAAGTTGAGACTTTGTTTTGTTTAGTCTGAACAAGCCTAGTGAATTCTCAATTTTTAAGTAATATGGTCCTTTAACTAATTATGTATAATTAAAATTAGTTGTCATGCTAATAGTGAATGTAATGTTATAGATATTTATTTAATATCTCAATAAAGACGCACCATGATAGCATGATTGCGAGTAAAAAAAGCAATTTAATATTTTAAATCAAATTATTATAATTTATAGTTAAAATTATTATTTTTTATTTATTTCATTATTTTCTACGAATGTTTATAAATTATTCAAAAAATATAGTTGTGATTATTATAAAATATTTTTATTGAAACTTTAAATATTCTTTTACAAAATATTGACTATATAAATAGGAAACGGTAAGTTGTTACTATACTAAGTCATTATTTTTCAAATAATGTGATTACTATGAGGACTAATCATAATCTGCTAAAGACTTTTTGGTGGATATGACGCAAAGATACAGTATATACTGTATATACTGTATATTTTATTTTACATCAATATTTCTAATATACTGAAAATCCTAAGATACTTTTTTAATGACATCAAATACTTCATAATCATCAATCATAAAACCACCACCAAAAGCACGAATAGGAACAGTATAATCGTGTGCCCCATTACAACAAAAACATTGGTTGTTTACGCTAGTAAATAAACATAATTCCCCACGAGATCCAAAATATGGTCCAAATTTAGTTCTAAGAATAAAAGGTCTAGAATAAACGGCACATTGCGCGTTCCTCACTCGACTAAGAATAGACTTTCCAGTATTCAATGAAAAAATAAAACTATCATTTGTGTGATAGGCTTCTTGGTGTTCCGTATTCCACGTCAAAGGATTATATCCACCAAGAATCTCCTCAGATCCTTCCACCTTTAAAATTATTAATGTACTTGTATGTTCATGACTCTTATTCCAAAATATTTAAGGATCAAATCCATCGTGACTCCCCCTTATTACCAGCTCAAAGTCATATGGAATGCTCGACGAGGAGTATGGTGTTTCCTTTCGATCGATCCATGATGAGATTTCTGCCGCATGCTCGTCATTGATGATAGTAGAGAAAGGCTCCAATCTTTTTGGTAGTTTCGGAACAACCGTCTTTCTTTTGGCAAAATAACCGACTTAACTGGTTCATCAGGAATGACTAAATTTCTGATTATGTCGTTCCAAAGTTGTTCATCTAAAATCTTTTTGTAAGGTTCTATTTTATTCATAACATCTCTTCCAGACAGTTGAAAATAGCGGATATGTGGTATGCATTGTTGGAGAGTATTTCTTAGGCATATAAAATTTTCATTTGACCATTCTTCAAGTTTTGAAGGTAATGCTTTATTTTGAGCAATTCCCCATTGAATAACTTT